GTTTCTAAAAACTGACAGTAAATAGTAGTATTTTTAGAAACAATTCACATATTGTGGTAATTTGAAACTTCCAATGACATTGAAGAAACAACTACATCTTTTAGAAACTTAAACTCTTTTTATTTGATTAAACCAGAAAAACACTACGAGCAAAGTAAACCTACAATCAAACTAGTTTGCGGAGCAAGTTCAAAACCCTTTGGTTATAAAGTTTCATTGAAATCAATAAAAAATTCATTTTTCTCCTTACTTATATTTCTCTTCCGATCAGTATTGTTGTCATAAAATTAATTCACATAAGAAAATTATTTAAACCTGTCATTAATAGATTTTTTTATTTTGAAATTTTTTTTATAAAAATAAATATATCGAGTAAAATCACGATATTAAAACATTTATGTGTTTATTCTAGAATATATTATCCATACTTATGGCACATATGCATAGTTTACAAATGTAAATATGAAATGGTAATTAATAATGTTTTAGTAACATTACCCCGGCAACCGCGGTAGCAAAGCAAGAGAGGCACTTGGACCCGTAAGAGTCGCCGCGACACTGGAATATGATGGTGACCAAATTGGGAGCCTTTCCATAAGACTTGAATATTTGGTCGTCTTGTTGAAACTTATTGGTAGAGATGATTTCGATGATTTTGTCAAGGTTTTTCTCAAATTTACTTCCAGGCTGATATTTCCCTTCACTGACGAGGCATTTGTGGTGCAAATACGCATTGGTAAGGTTCAACGACGAAACCCTCCTTGTAAAGAGTTGTAAAGCCAAGATATGGACAAAAACGAGGTGTTTTGATAGAGAATATGAAGTGCACATTGTTTTAGATTTTGATTTTTTTCCAGAGGGCCAGGGAAGTTTTTCTTGCGAATGAAGCCTTGAGATTGAGATGTTTATATAAAAGAAATGAAAATTTTTAGCTGATTGGTCTCATTAGTAACAAGATTAACTAACTATCTCAACGATATTATGTTTTGGTTACTTTATACAAAATTCGATGAAATTTTCAGTTTGTAGAAGAAATGTATTTTTTTAAGAGAGAAAAGGGGGTTGGGTATTTTCGGCGACCTATGAAGAGGACCAAATGAAAAAGTCAAAATTCAATTTTTAAACCACTAAATTTGAACAACATAATGTTCTGAAGTTTACCATTCTTCGATTCACTTTCTAAAATCTAACATTTCGTGTGGCAATTAGTTCATCTTTAATGCATTGTGAAGGAATATTTTGCTATATAAAATGAAGAAAAGCAAATAACAAATTTAGCTTGTATTCTCTCTATTTTTTAGCGATGGAGTTATGGCTG